ACTGCATTGCCAGCGGTAAGATGATTTCCTGAGTTTTACCAATATATTTACTTGGTTAGGAATCATAGTCTACTCACAAATTACCGGTCAATTCACTCAAGGAAGCATCAAAGTATCCTCATGGCGTACTTGTGACAAAATTAATATTTATGCACGTTGCGCAGTGAAGCCCTTGGCTTCCAGCGGCAGCAGAAGCCCGGGAAGAATCAACCCCGGAGCGCCCGAAGTAGTCATATTTGTTCAAAGCGAAGACATGCCGTACATCGCCGTCACATACCCATTCGAATTCAGAACCGAGAATCCTTAACACGATCGCATGCTCCCCGTCGCTCTCCGTCGACAGAAGACGCTTCTCGTGATCGTTGGCCCGATCGCCTGTCATCACCCTCGCTGATCAGATCTCAGAAGCGGCAGCCGCGAATGATTGTCGGAGTCTCTGTTTAGCTTAGTCCATGGCATGGCAAGAACATCTTGTGGGAGTCCTATAGTGATCCCGTTGGCTAATTTTGCTTGGTCGATGATATTAACCTACATCTGATCTCGCTGGCTAGCAGGCAATTTGCGGTGCTCGGCTCCTCTGGATTCTGGAAGGGGTGAAGCTCGCCATGCGGTATTAATCACGACAAATAAATCCGATAATTTGTCCACATGGATGGACCTTGCAAATGGCAGTGGGTAATACGTTTTTTTGGTACTGAGGCTTCATCGTGCTTGGTTTCAGTCTTGTCATGACTCGGTAGCATCTTGTGTTATGTACCATGACCATGATGAATAGTGCTCAGCGCTCAAGCGCTCATGGTCAATGCAGTAAATGCATGATCATAGGCCAGTAAAAAACTGCTAGAGCTGCCAAATTCACGCCATGTGTAGACACCCAGACAGTCAATACTAGTACTAGTACTGCTTGAGTACTGCGATCCTCCACCGTCAAATGGCAGAAAAAGACGACCGACGTCAGCAGGATTCGAACCTACGCCCTCAAAGAGGAACAGATTTCTAATCTGTCGCCGTAACCACTTGGCTATGACGCCATCGGAGGTTATACAGCGACATGTAAATCATTATCGATTATCCTCCTTGACTCTTTATTATCTTTTGCAAGTCTTCGAAAACTCGTATCGTCTCATTTTGCATCCCCTTGAAGGCAAGGTAAGCACACAAGGCTGAACTGTTTGAACTGATATACAAGTTTTGTGCAGGTCGGAGGTCTCTCCTTGTTGGTTTTGACCTGAACGCTCCTGCGCAAATCACGGTTTCCAAGAGTTGGAGTCTTGGACCCAAGATCTTTGAAACCGTTTTTTGTGCAGTAGCCCCAGACTTGCAAATATTTCTCTCACAAACATCCTTTCTTCTGGGCCGGTTGCTTCTAGTACCTTCAGTCGCGAAAAACGGCCATTCCACCTCTCCGTTTCTTCCAGCTGCAGGAATGCACCGAGTCCACATATTGGACCATCCGATCTTCGGAGTGTCCTGAAAGAGGGGATCCACTGGACCACAGCCATTCCCTGTGCCTCTTGTATCTTTTGTTGACTAGCAATCTTGTCACCTACACGTTGTGGATCTGGTCAGTGGAGCTCCATCTTTTGGGAACTGGTGGTTCATGTTCCCGGAAGGTCGAGGATGCACGGCCTAGAATGAATGAACCACTGGCAAATTACACGGTTGGATCTTTATCTGTCCATCCGAGCGCATCCACAATAGGCGTTGGGTTGAGCCTATACAAATGTCGCTTGTTTCGTCGCGGCAATATCTTCCGGACCGTTGTTGTCCCCGCCTCTTCGTGCTTATTGAATGCATCTTCTACTTCCTGCCGCAAGCCCTTCCTCAACTCGTTGGCGACTTCAACCTACATTTCAAACGTGTTCGCGAGTGAGCAGTAACCAGTTAGCCAACGCCTTTTGGCTGGCGCACTGACCAGTGTCCCCCGCTGTGACTTAGTAAGTTATGTTTCAAAGTTTGTCATAGAAGTTCTTCGAGTGATTGAATGGTTGTGCAGCTCATTAATGAAGAAACACCTATTCCGGTCTCTGTTTTTCAGGAGGTGCGTTGCGCTTCTATTGCCGAGTTGATCATTAAATATGATAGGGGTGTTGAAAGCCTGGGGAGATTGTACCGTGGTATATCTCGATCTTGACACCCCCTGGCTGCGCTAGGACCGCTATGACTACAAGAAGCGGGTGCTGTATATGGAGTGCCATATACTACCAGTATCAAGCGTTGAAGGACTTGTCGCAGGAATGTCAAACTCGGTTACACCTTCTGATTAAATGCATAAATTGACTACTGCGTGTTTCGATAGTAGTGGGCATGTCGCGATGGGTCTTGTCTGGGAGAAGATATTACTTGCAACTCTGATATGTGCAACGGCGGTATGTTGCTCACGCCCATTCTCAGTCACGATCCAGTTCCCGTTGACAAAGAACTTTTGGTGTACAAGATTTTGGCGGAACTGATATGCACTGAATAATCTCAAGATGCCTTGGACTGTGGTCTCATCCTGTTATGCGGCGGGCAGGATGTAGTATTCATGGTCGAGTGCCCCGAACTTATATATGTGTTGATTTTCCAAACACGTGACCTGCACGTCGCGATCGGCTTTGTTTATCGGCGTGCAAGTTTGGTGCAAATAAGGTTCAAACCTGGAGTATAAATACCTCGTGTTTGTCGTCGCACTGATATCCCCCAGTCAGTCCCGCCATTATCGTCATTTTACGCTCGCCAGCTTATCTTTACGATCCTCCATTCATTCGCCAATATGATCTCTACTACTACCCTGACTCGCGCCGCCCGTGTTGCCTTCCAAGGCTATCTTACAGTCGCTTTCTTCAAAAAATCGTCGTCGACCGCACTATTCAGGTCGTGTCCAGATCAGAGAAGGTCACCATTAGCCTTGTCACATCCACTGTCTGCTCCTCGACAGCCGTTCTTCTCATAGCCACCACCAAAGCTGCTCAACAATTCCTCAGCGATGACTTCCAACGCGTTCCCGCTCATAAGGACGTCGACGATATCGCTGAGCCCAACGCACGTTTTGCTGGCGGCAAAGTTGTGGATGCTATCTCAACAACCAAGGCTTCCGGAGCACCAGCTCAGCCACCCTCGTCGCATGCAGTGATTGAATTGATTGAATCTGCCTTTGACAGTCCTACCGAAGGCTTATCAACAATTGATTCTGACACGACACTCGTAGCCTGCGACGAAGACTTGGCTGAGGACGTTTTCTCTGGTGATCGCGTCTCAGACACCACAGACCTTGACTCGGAGTCGCTTCCTGATGAAAGCACTTTCTACGAGGTGAGTAGCGCGTTTCTTTTTGACTTTTGTCAACTAATGTTTGGGTTTATAGGACGACTGTCAGGCTACAGCACAGTGCCTCACAGACGACGAACCGGAACACATTTTGCACGCCGAATATGACTCTCAGACTATCAACAATCTAATCCAAAGAATGTCGACTCTTTCTCTCGATGATGTACCGTCTCATTTATCAAGTCTTTCTCTCGACAATGTACCTCCCATTTCGACTATTTCTCTCGACGATGTAACCTCTCACACTTCAACTATTTCTCTCGAAAATGTACCCCCTCATATTTCAACTATCTCTCTCGACGATGTAGCCTCTCATACTTCAAGTCTCCCTCGATAATGTGCCCTCTCCCATCTCAACTCTCCTTCTCGACGATGTACCCTCTCCCAGTTCAACTCTCCCTCTCAACGACGTACCCTCTCCTATTTCGACTCTCCCTTTCGAAGACGTACCCTCTCCTATTTCAACTCTCCCTCTCGACGAAGTGCCCTCTCCCATTTCAACTCTCCCTCTCGACGACGTACTCTCTCCCATTTCAACTCTCCCTCTCGACGAAGTGCCCTCTCCCATTTCAACCCTCCCTCTCGACGACGTACTCTCTCCCATTTCAACTCTCCCTCTCGGCGATGTATCCTCTCACTTAACAACTCTTTGGCCACATCCCGACAATGGTTCCCCTCAGTCATCGAAATGTCAGCCTCAACCCACTGCAGTACACGACCACGTTATCGACGACCTAATTAAAAAAATCGTAGCTCTTTCTCTGCATGACCATGCTTTCGATGCTCTACCCCCAAAGCCAGAGGCTCTTACTCTCAACGGCAACCACGCTGTCGATGTTCTACTGCACAAATCGGAGTCTCTTACCCTCGACGACAACCACGATCTACTGCAAAAATCAGAGGCTCCTGCTCTCGACGAAAACCCCGCTGTCAACGCTCCTGCTCTTGACGACAACTACGCTGTCGACGCTTTACTGCACAAATTTGAAGCGCTTACTCTCGACGACGACCACGCCATTGATGCTCTACTGCACAAATCAGACGCTCATATTCTCGATGACGATGCCTCTCAGTTATCAAAACGCATGCTACATGATAACACTAATGACAGTCCCAGTCGCCGGCACTTACACACCACCGACACCTTACTTCGAAGTCTCGAGATTGTCCATCCTCGGAATTTCAACTACGACTCACCTTACACAACGATGCTATCGACACCATACTTCGAAGCATACAACCTCCTATTCTGGACGATAGTCCCTCGAACCAAAACGTCAGCCACAACACCCTACTAGCACGACCACAGTATCGACATCCTACCAGCTGAACTCCACACGGCATCTACGAAAAGTGATTGGCCACTCATACTCTTACCTCATTTACTGATATTTCGGTGTTAGAAATTCAATGACGCGCATCGCTTCCAGCACGTCCTTGGTGTCAGAGGTCCCCTACGACCCAACGCCTAATGGCCTCTCTCGTTGTCCCCTACGACATGGAGTCATCCACGAGGTTGAAGGCCCGCACATACTACGCGCCAGCATATCAGCTCTTTGATGAGCCAGAGGTCCCCTACGACCACATCTCGACGACGCATCAAACGACAACGGCCTCCGTTGTTCTCGACGATGTACTTTCTCCTATTTCAATTCCTTCCCTCGATAATGTACCTCCCCCCATTTCAACTATTTCTCTCGACAATGTACTTTCTCACTTATCAACTCTTCCGCCACAGCACACTCTATACACCCACACTATCGACGCCCTACCTGGTCCGTCTCAGCTTTCGGAGCTTCGGTCAACACATGCCCTAGATGATCGCCCTATCGACGACCTAATTCGAGGAGTGTTAGATCTGTCTCTTGACGATGTTCCCACTCAATTGTTGACACTTGGGCCGCATCACGCTCTACACGGCCACTCTGTCGACGCGTTACCCAATAACATAAAAGTTCTTGCTCTCGACGACAGCCTCGCTATCAATATACTACTCAATAACACAGACGCTCGTGCTCTCGACGACAACCACGCTATTGACGCTCCACTGCAACGATCGGAAGCTCATACTCTTGGCTTCGATGCCTCTCAGTCATCGAAGCTTCAGCTACAACACATGCTACACGACAACACTAACGACACACTACTCCACGACGCGGGTGCTTTTTCCCTTGACGACGGTCTATCTCAGTCGTCGGAACTTCAGCTGCAGTCCACCTTGGACGATACTATCAACATGCTGCAGCAAAAAATGGACGCTCTTTCCCTCGACGACGATCCCTGTTGATCACAGTCACAGTACATCCTATACGACGACACTCGACAATAGTCCCCATCACAGTCTCAATCCTCGACACTTGCACCGCAAGACTTTTTACACGACGACGACGCCAACACCCTACTCCGAAATACCGAACCTCTTACTCATGATAGTCGCTCTCAGTCCTCGGAATTTCGACTACAACACACCCTACACGACCATGCTATCAACACCGTATTTCGAAATGTGGAACCTATTACTCAGCGGCAGTCCCTCGCAGTCGCCAAATTTCAGCCACAACACATCCTATTAGCCACTGAACTCCGCACGACGTCTACGAATGGTGAGCGGTCCACCCATACTCTTTCCTCCCTTACTAATGTTTCAATGTTATAGTCTCCTACGACCAAACTCGTTAGACGTCGACGCATCTAACATCTCTCCGGTGTCAGAGTCCCCTACGACCAATCCGGATGATACCTAATGGCCTCCCTCGCTGTCCCCTACGACTTGAGTCACATTTTCCACGAGGTTGCAGGCCCTCCACGCGTACTACGCACCCAACATAGCGCAAGTCTTCGATCTACGACCTGGAGGCTGAAGGCCATCGTCCACAGTCTTAGAGTCCCGCACACTAGTAGTACGTCTAGCAAACCAACTTGGTCCCTTCGGGTTTCCTTCATCAACTACCACTACGAAGTTCTTTCGATTTGTGTTCTATTTCATTGGTACGACCATGGACTGTCCATTTAGTTTAATTACGGACGTATGTGATCTATACTTATCTCATTGATGTCTTGTTCCTCTCAATGAATATAATTTTCTTGCATATGTTCTGAAGGCGAGACGTTTTTGAGGCTCAGAACATTCCACTACCGAGACCGTAGTGGCTATCGCATTGCAAGAATGCTCTATTGAGAGAACTGATTCACTTCAGTTTTCTAACGATCCTATTTTATACGTAGCTGTCGGTTTTCGTGTTAGCAAGCAAAAAAGAAAACCGATCTATTGATCAGTCAATGATATCTGATTGTTTTTACGGATAGTAGCAATAGTTGCGTGAAGCTATTTGGGCACAAAACCAAGGGGGTTCAAGTTGCGACCCGAAACATGGCTTCGAACTTATACAGAAAGTCCATGATGAGCCGAGCTGTGATGCATTGATGGGCGGGTGGGCCATAGCAGCTTGCAGCACAGAATCGAAAATAATGCGTCGCTGGCAACAGAATAATGAACGTTAAAAGACAAGAACGAGACGCAGGCTGTCAGAAGGGAGTGGAGGTCGGGTGCAACGAAACGCAAGTGTAGTCGAGCAGTAGAAAACTTGTGAGTACTACGCGGTAGTACGAAGCAAGAAATGTGAGAACCAGAAAAGTTGTTCTTGCATTATCGGCGCTTCGTTGACTGTGATGGACGACCATCGTAGTAGATGCAGTATTTCATGCCTGATATCGTACGGTTTTCCCAAGAACCACTGCAGTCGAACCTGATGATATCATTGCAAGTAGCAGATAAACAACTTCACTGGTAACGAACGTCTGAACACTTCTCTGGTAGTACGTTATTATATCTGCCTTATTCCGGAGTTGAGAGATATCATTTTTAGGACCACCACGATGAGAACACGAGGGCACAAACTTCCAGGATTTAAGAATTGCGGCGTTTTCAGATGTAGGATGACTGCGAATATTGTCGAACACTCTTGGATGATATTAGGTTGAGCTTTCGTGAATTCTTCGCTTGTCACAAACGACCGTTTATATAATCCCGTTTTAGCCTGTATAATATCTCTGGTAGTATATCGGATAGTACACCCGCCTGTCACGCGGGAGAGCGGGGTTCGACTCCCCGCCAGAGAGAATTTTTGACCGACCTCTAAGGCCGGGGCCGGTCATATGCATGACATCGACAGGCAAGGCCACCCGATCGTGTGCAGGAGGCGTTTCGACGATTATTAAAGGGCGATTCCACATCGAAGCCGATTATCAGCACGTATCCAAAATCCAAGTTCAGGTCCCAGGATCGCGTCCAGCCCCGGGACTCTGACTCCCACTATTGTAGCGAACTGCTGCAAATTTGCACGACTCATGTTTCTAAAATTTTTAGCAATGGTTCGGCACGCCGTCTGATTCTGGTCATGTCAGTGATTACTCCTATGAGCAAGGCGCTCGTGCCCTCCTGTAACCGAGTTACCGGGTGAGCGCTTAGCCATAGTCGTCTTCAAAGCTTCCACTACGCCTCGCCACCATCTAGATTCTAGCGAGCTTTCCACAGTACTAGAACAAATGTTTATCACCTAGAAATTCCTATCCCTTCGTAGTAAGTGACACAGTTCGAATGCTTCGCTGCCTAACTTATCACTGGTTTGCAGAATTACTATGCCAAATTGATGCCAAAACATCATTTCTCAACTTCAGCAGCCTGTAATCTTTGATTCAATGTCCTCATAAGTCGCGAGGCACCCCTCTTCTATGATTTCTAACTGTTGTACCCAGTTAGTACTTCTTGGAGTTTATTCCATTTATCTGTATCACCATCACCATCATCATCACCATCATCATCTCCTTTCCAAGGAGTCAATGTTGGCATAGCCATATTTTATTCCCCCTCTTGTTCTCTGACATCATCAACAGCTCTTTAATATGTCTGAAGGAGCTTGGGAGAAGTTTTCTCAGGTCGCTGTGAAGGGTGCTGAACATGATTCTTGTGAATGCCAGCCCCATCCTAAATGCTTGGAAGGGACCCAAGTAGTCCTTCTCAATCACATTTATGGATTATCAGACACCAAAGAGAAGAATTGACTCATCTGGCTGCATGGCACAGCTGGCATTGGAAAGTCTGCTGTTGCGTTCACTGTAGCTGAAAGAATGAGAGGCCTGAAAATGACTGAGGAGATGAAAGTAGAAATGTGGCTCAGTGGAACATTCTTCTTCTTGTGCAAGCACACAAAATGCTGCACAACTGGTTATTTCTTCATGATGCTCGCTTACCAGCTAGCCATCAATTTTCCCAGCATCCAGCTGGATGTGAACAGGGCTATCCTCAAGGATCCCTCCCTTCTAGACCCCAACAAGTCACTTTGCAAGCAGATGGAAGGGTTATTTCTGCAACCCCTGCAGAAGCTTCAATCCAGACTACGTGAATGTCTGCCTTTGATGTTCATTGTTGATGCCCTTGATGAATGCACACACAAATCCCCCAATGAATACTTGTCTGAATCCAGGGATGAAGGCGAATCCGAAAGTGAGCTTTCTGAGCTCATCTCCCTGCTCGCCCAAGCTCTTCATGATCCTGATCTACCTTTGATCCACATCCTAGTCATGAGTCACTCAGAAGCACATATTTGCGAAGCCATGCAGAGCGAAGATGTGCACCCACTGTTGTGCAAGATACCAGTGAAGATTTTAGGGGAGGGTGTTGCTGCTACCATCTCACTAGATGGCATAGATGTTGATGAAGATATCTATCGTTTCTTGGAGCATTCCTTTGGTAAGCTGCAAAGTTGCTCTCCCACCTTCCTGCAACCAATGAAGGATCAAATTGAGAAGCTGGCGATCCGAGTGGGCAGACGTTTCATTGTGACATCTACAATGATGAAGTTTATTGATGATTGACACAACAATCCCCGTGACCAGCTTCACCTCATGCTTGAGCTAACATGTGAACTGCTACCAGGAACGGAGGTGTATGAGTTATATGATCATATCCTTTCCACATGCACTGACCTGAAGTGGGCATACCTGCACTTGTCCATTGTTGCTGCCCTTATGGATCCTCTACCAATCTCACAAATATCAGAACTTCTCAGCCCTGGTCAGGGCAGAGATGTTGAGAAAGTACTGGTGCAGCTATAGTCTGTCATAGATGTTCCTCCTGACAGCAGTCTCCCCATAAATATCTATCACTTGTCTGTTTGTGACTATGTCTCTCACTGCTCAAACTCCAGTCTCTATATCACTTCACCTCACTCCCTACTCACACATTCTTCTCTCCACTTGATGGTACGAGAGCTCCCAGGTGTTACAAACTAGGGTAGTTCTAACAACAGATGACTCGATAAGAGTCAGGGATCTCTGTTGAGATTCTATGCAAGACAATAAGTCAAGCATTCGGTGTAAGCTAAGTCAAAGGGAGTGCCTCTGACTTAAAGTACGATTCAGACAACAAGAGATTGGAGGTCTCAAGTGAAGGATATTCAGGGTAAAACCTAGTAAGATTAAAGTAAAGAGCTAAAGTGTACAGGAGGACTATTTATGGTGAACTACTGTGCTTTAGGGCAGACATGAGAATGGAATGAGTCAGAGATAAGAAACGCATAAGCGATAACAAGAATAGGTCATCTAGCAATGGCAGCAGCAGTTGTGATGTAATACAAGGTGTGAGTCAGAGATAAGTCTAGTGGTGGCATCATGTGGCTCATGATGTAATACACGGTAAGAAAGAGGAAAATGAATAGGGGCATATGTGGTTGTAACATTACCCCTCAATTAGGGGTGAAGTCACTGACTTCAAACATCTTGGTTAGCCCAGTAAATCAGGTCAGCATCATAGTTAGAGTCTAGCAAATCGTTTTGCTCCTCTGTAATAGTAAATGATTGTTTATCAGCTATCTTGGCAGCATGATGATAAATGGCATCCTGCTCGATCTCCCAGTGAGCAAGGGCTTCATAGAAACCAGTGTCAGTCCAAACCAGTGGAATGACCGCTTCACCCTTCAAGTCTTTACAAAAGACTGATAGATGCCCAGGTGCATATTCTTTGCAAACCCGGCAATAGTATGCTGGGCAGTTCTTATGACGATGCCCAGCAATGCGACAGTTACAACATATGACATTGTCAATGGTTGCCGTTCTTACGGTGGTGACAGTGGATGACTGTGCAGGTGGAGATGGGGATCTGGATTGTCATTTATGGTTTCTATGTGGGGAAGCTGATGCAGTTCGTTTGGCGATGCGGGTGGATCTGTGCCTGATGGGGTACTGACATGTAGTGGGTGTGATGGGGGTAGGAGATGGAGAAGCTGGTACATCAAGTACAGCAATAGGAGGGATATTGTCATCCAAATGCTCAGTGGTAGCTGTCAGAAGAACTGGTGGTGGGACTGGAATGGCAACATGTGGGGATGGGGGTTGTGCGATTGGGTTTGTAGCAATACATTCAGTGATGATGTGGATAGCCTCTCTGATAGCTTCCTTAGTATCATCAGGCAACAGGTGGATTGCAGTATTATGAATGCGTATATGAAGGTGGTGGAAGATGGTCTTGTGACGGTCATTGTCAAGGAGATTAGCGGTGCATTCGATAAGGCTAGCGTCTCTGATGATTCGGATAATAAGTCCGCTTGAGATTGCTCCCCTTTCTCCTAAGAGATGATCTATCTCAATGGTGTACTGTTGGGACATGATGGTGGATTCAAACAATGCACTAGTCTTGATCTGATCAATGATTGTGAAGTAATCGGTGGGGGTAGAGTTGCTGGTTAAGGTAGAGTCAGTCAATGGTGGGGAAGTGATTGGGGAGGGTGTGTTTTCAGTGGCAGCAAGATTGGCAATGGTGGCAGTCTGGTAGTCAGCAAGAGATAATGGGTGGGCAATGTTCTCAGATACAATGTTCATAGCAGTGGTGAGTTCTTCGATGCATTGTATGTAGAGGTGTAAGCGTTCAAGAGACATTGTTTTGGAGTTACAAGTGGTGGGTCTTTTTATATGCAGAGAGGACGTCAGTGGCATTGCTAAGATTCTCTTCTGGGATCCATTTGTTACTGGCGGAGGAGTATCCTTTCCAGGACACAAGATAGTGTCTTCATTTACCTGTACCTTTGTGTGATAAGATTGCATCAATTTCATATTCTTCTTTGTTATCTATGACATCTGGGGGAGGATCATGGAAATTCGGGCCGTGGATTTCTGTTTCGTGATAGGACAATAGTTTGGAAGCATGGAACGTGGGATGAACTCTCCACTGAGGTGGTAGTTGGAGTGTGAACATGATGGGTGATAATACGGCAATGACAGGGAAGGGGCCATATTGCTTTGGCACAAGCTTCCACAATGGTAGCTGTGTGATCAAATTCTTTCCTGATAACCAAACCTTATCTCCTACTTTCCACGGGTGGTACTTTTGTCTGTGTGTTCATTCTGCCATTCGCTGCATAGCAAGGTTATGACAGGATAGTGCTTCTTCTCTCGATTTCTGAAGTTGACAGAGTCGGTCTTCTGCGGCAGGCACAGTGGAGTCAGGAAGGGTATGTGGGAGAGCTCGAGGTTCATATCCCATCATAAGGAAGAATGGGGAAGCATTTTGTGAGTCATGTTTTCGGTGGTTATGGATGAACTTGGCCATAGGGAGATGTTCTACCCAATCTTCTGGGTGATTACAGCAGTAAATACAGAGGTAGGTTTCAAGTTCCTGGTTAAGATGTTCGGTTTGTCCATCAGTCTGAGGATGATAAGTGGTGGATGTGGCAATGTCATATTTCAGGAGCTTAGCAAGGGCTTTAGAGAACTTTGATACAAACTGTGGTCCTTGATTGGATATGACTTTCTCATGGAGACTGAAACATCAATAGATGTATTTGAAAAACTTCGAGGCAATGCCCTCAGAAGTTATGGTTTTTGTACAAGGGGTCAGAATTACCCCCTTCATAAGGCAATGGTCTACCACAACCATAACAGAATCAAAACCTGCACATATGGGGAGGTTGGTAATGAGATCAATGGAGAGTTGGGCAAAGGGTGCGGAGGCGACAGAGGGAATAGGGACAAGTGGGGGGGTCACAGGATGCATGTCAGATTTCATTTGCTGACAAAGAGTGCAACCATCAACGTATTTCTGAATATAGGAGCCCATAGAAGGCCACCAAAAGTCTTGCTTAACAAGCTCCTCCGTTTTAAAACAGCCAGGATGACCAGCAGTAGCATGGTCATGACAATGTTCTAGAATAAGGTGTCTGCTGGCAGGCCTAACATAGGTGCGATCTTTGTAATACAAAATGTCATCTTTAATTGTCCAATTGGCGAGTGCAGATCTCATGGGGGGAAGCGATAAGCCATCAAGGGCATCTGCAGTGGCCTGGAAGATGGGATCAGGGTCAGTGGGGTCTGGGTTCATGAGTGTGGTCATAAGTTCCACATCAAGAAGTTGTACAAACATAGAGTCTGGGAGAAGAGTGATGTCATCATTGTCACCCTGCCCAGTTCCATGGTCAGGACGTCTGGAGAGTGCGTCGGGGGTGGCAAGTTTAGTTCCAGCAATGTGGTGGAGTTTGATGTCATAACAGGAGAGGAGGAGTTGCCAATGTGCTTGGCAACGAGTCAATTTTTGTGTGGTCCGGAAATAGAGCAGATTCTTATGGTCCATAAAGACAATTACTGGATGAGGGTTTCCTTCAAGGTAATGACACCATTCAGTAAGGGCGCAGATAACAGTGAGAAGTTCATGATCAAAGATCTGATAATTCCTTTCAGCTGGGTTCAAGGTTTGGGAGAGGTATCCACATGGATGGTAAACTCTGTTTTCATCTGTTTGTAGCAAGACCACTCCAGTGGCAACAAGCGAGGCATCAGTGGCAACAGCGAATTGCCGGCTAGGATCTGGGTTCCATAATACAGGTTGCTTCAAGAAGCATTCTTTAAGTGTAGTGAATGCAGAGGTGCATGGGCTGGACTAGTGGAATACCATATCTTTCTTGGTGAGATCAATCAAGGGTCTAGCGATGTCGGAGTAATGAGGGACGAAATTGTGATAGAAATTGCAGAACCTGAGGAACGACCAAACTTCTTTTACTGTGGTAGGGACAGGCCAGTCACAGATACCGTCGGTTTTTGCGATATCCATTGCAACACACCCAGGGCGAATGATCATTCCTAAGTATTCAACTTCCGTGGTGTCAAAGGTGCATTTTTCCGGTTTCAGGAATAGTTGTTCAGCACGGATTCGTTCTAAGACACAACGAGTTTGAGCATGATGGGAAGGGAGGTCATTTGAAAAGATTAGGATATTGTCCATGTAAATGACTAACCACCCTTTGTTTATTTCCTGCTGGAAGGTCCGGTTCATGTATGCCTGAAAAGTAGCAGGTGAGTTGCAAAGACCAAAGAACATGATGTTAGGTTCAAAAGACTGTATTCAGTGGTAAACGCTGCTTTCCAACAATTGTCGGGGTGGATCTGAATGTTATTATATCCAGAACAGACGTCCATCTTTGTGAAATATTTAGTGCCATGTAGTTGAGTGACCAGGGTTAACGGGAGCGGGAGGGGATAAGCATTTTTTACCATCCAGTCATTGATATACTGATAGTCCTGACAAGGGTGTAGGTCACCACTTTTCTTTCCAACAAAGAAGAATCCACTAGCTTGTGGTGATTTTGACTTGGAAATGAATCCTTTCCGTATGTTTTCATTGATGAATGCTTTGACGGTGGTTTGTTCTGCTTCTGACAATGGGTAGACCTTAGATGTTTTAGGGACAAAACCAGGTTTAGTATCAATGTGATGGTCGATTCCAGGACGTTCTGGGGGTAGTTGATTTAGTCCGTCTTTAGCAAAGATGTCGGCAAAGTTGTGGAGGTAAGAAGGGACAAGTTCTTCAAACAATTTCTTCTTCTGCTCAAGCCCAGCTGCTAGTGCAAACTGCTGGGCTTTGTTACTGGTTTTGACATATTCAGTGGGCCATGACAGGGGTGTGACTGTAGGTTTCTGTTCTGCAGCACTAGTACCATCTTTGGTTAATGGAGTGTCCATGGAAATATTGGTAATGACTCGGAGTTCAGTAGCATCAATGGGGTACTCAACCAAAAATTCATCATCATCAAGGTGGTATGTAGCGATTTCTCATACAGGTAGTGCATAGTCTGAGGTCCATACATCGTCTTTGGTGTCAAAGGAATTGTTGTCATTGTCAGGGATGGGGTCAAGGTTGGGTAGAGCCGAGGGTGTTTCTTCATCTGGGATTTCTTCAATGGTCACTCAGGGAGATGGTTCTATGAATGTAGGTTACACAGGAGGCGCCTTTGGCAGCACTACAACTGGTGTTTCTTCTTTCTTCAAGTGGGAGTTTTTCCAAGTTCTATCAGCTGGGGTTTTGATAGTCTCTTGAAAGAGAGGGGGAAGACCATTCTTTTTTTGTTCAGCATCAATGTCTTCTTCTATTAGATCACTTTTCTTGGTACAAGAGAGTTCTAATGTCTCAGCTTTCCACCGAATGATTGGGTCCATGGCATGCAGCCAAGGGATTCCTAGCAAAATCTGATCACGATGGCTGAGTTTCATGATATTGAACTTTCCAAGCATGGATCATTCATCGATCTTCACAATGAGGATGCAGTAGTGGGTGATTGCGCCTCCTTTTGCATAACTTCCATCCACTGTGGTTACTTGGAATGGTTTTGTGAGTTTATGCATTCGGATCTTATGAAGCTTAACAAAGTCTTTGGAGATAAAAGTTCTGGCGGCTCCAGAATCAATGACAGCAGTTGTTTTGATGGTTTTCAGGCGAGTTTTGGAAATGAGGGAAATGGGAATGCGAAGTTCCTTTCTGATTCCTACACCTCGAACAAGTCTAATAGGTACATTGGAAGATACTGACATTGATCCAGTCTTCCACATTAAAAATCCTCATTGATACAACAGACTTCTTTTTCATCTTCTTCGGCTGGTTCAGTGCAATGCACAGGAGCTTTGCTGTTCTTCTTCTTTGGGCAGTTACAGGAGATGTGGCCCTTCTGGTGGCAGTTGAAACACTTGCCATTCTGGTAGTGTTCAGTTTTCTCTTCCTCGGTGAGGCGGTCGACCTCCATAGCATTGGGGTCATGGCGATCAATGGAGGGTCTGGGAATGTAGCATTGACCAGTAGGCTTTGTGTTTGTGCGATTGTTGTTGTGGAAGATCGCACCACATTGCCAATTACTGTCAAGTCTGATTGTGGCTTGGACATACTTGTCAAAGTCTGTAGGGACAGTTTCCATCTGATAAATGGCATTACTGATTCCTTTCTTTAATCCATTGTTGAAGAACGTAATCAGGACAGCATCTTGCTTTACACTGGCTTGTGCAGCAAGGGTCCTGAAACTGGCGATATAGGAAGTGAGGTCGCCTGTCTGCTTCAGAGTTCAGAGTTTATTCATAGCAGTGCCAACTGCATCTGCTGGTGCGAACGCTTCTTTGAACTTAGCTTCAAAGTTTGCGAAGGTCCCGTAGGACTTCGAGGTGGAGTTATCGACTTCAGTGTAGAATGTCAGTGCCCAACCCATGGCACTGTCTTTTGTCATATATGCAAGTGCGGTAATGACTTTCTTTTCATCAGTGTTGTAAACCAATGAGTTAACAGCAAAGTATGCTTTTACTGAAAACAACCATCTTAATGCATGGTCAGGGCTTCCATCATAGTCTTTTGGTGTCCCAGCCTTGAGTTCTGATGAAGAGCTGGACATTCTGATACTGGGATGTGCAGAAAGATTTCAGGGTGGCTGTTCTTCTGGGAATTCGTCTACTGATGCAGTTGAATGCTGATCTGGTTCTGTGGTTACAGGGGACGGGATTCGTCTCTCTCTGTCTTCTGTGATATCCAGACCTTCGGCCTCATGATATTCTTCTTCTTCTGGTTCTGTGGGGATGTCATTTGGATCAGTCTCCCACCAATACTTTCTAACCCAGGGGGTCATCTTGCTTTGAGCTACTGGGGCCTCCCTTGATGGAGAGGTTTGATAGGGACTTTAATCTTTTGTTACAAACTAGGGTAGTTCTAACAACAGATGACTTGATAAGAGTCAGGGATCTCTGTTGAGATTCTACGCAAGACAATAAGTCAAGCATTCGGTGTAAGCTAAGTCAAAGGGAGTGCCTCTGACTTAAAGTACGATTCAGACAACAAGAGATTGGAGGTCTCAAGTGAAGGATATTCAGGGTAAAACCTAGTAAGATTAAAGTAAAGAGCTAAAGCATACAGGAGGACTATTTATAGTGAACTACTGTGCTTTAGGGCAGACGTGAGAATGGAATGAGTCAGAGATAAGAAACGTGTAAGCAATAACAAGAATAGGTCATCTAGCAATGGCAGCAGCAGTTGTGATGTAATACAAGGTGTGAGTCAGAGATAAGTCTAGCAGTGGCATCATGCGGCTCGTGACATAATACATGGTAAGAAAGAGGAAAATGAATAGGGGCGTACATGGTTGTAACACCAGGTCCCTCAGCCCTATTGGATGTGCTCTCAGTATTGAAGCAGCAGAGTCAAGCTATGGAACCCCATGACCCCAAGAATCTAACACACTCATTATCTTTTATCATCCAGCCATTGGAGCCAATGCAAGTGCTTGCAGCTCTCCTATGGCTTCGGGGAAATTGCAGTTCAGAGTCACAATTCTGGCTAGAAACTCTGGATGGGCATGCCTGGCTGGATACTTTGGATGGGTGTACCTGGCTGCAGACTCAAGAAGGAAAGGACTGGTTGCAGACTCAGATGGCACAAAGCTGGCTGGACCTCTCCAACCTGCAGACCCAGCGCGAGCCAAACTTAGTCTCCCTTATTCAAACTATATTGGCAAGAGTGCAGTCATTAGTTCTACAAAACTCACCACAGACCCAGCACGGGCAAAACTTAATAGTCTCCCTTAATAATCAGATTATAGCAGAAGGAAGTGGGTCATACCCACACATGCAAAACTTGCTGCAAACTCGTGGTCAAACCTCGCTGCTGAGCCAGCCTGGGTGGGACCCGCCACAGTCCTAGCACAAGGATACCTCACTGCTGATAATACCATTTTGGCAGAACCTGTTGCAGACTCAGCATGAGCAAAACTCACTGCTGAGCCAACCTGGGTGGGACCCTCCCCAGCACAAGGAAACATCCCTGCCGACAATACCGTTTTGGCAGGACCTGTTGCAGACCCAGTGTGAGCAAACCTCACTGCTGACCCAGAGTAGGAATGACTGGCTGCAGACCCAGGGGGGAAAGGACTGGGTGCAAAGCCATGTGGGGAAGGATTGGGTGCAGACCCGGGGGGGAAAAGACTGACTGCAGACCCAGGGGGGGAAGGACTGGCTGCAGACCAGTGGGGGGAGGCTCTGGGTGCAGACCCATGGCACACTGGACTGGCTGCAGACCAAGGGCATGCAACAGTGGTTGCAGACTCTTGGTGGCCAAGATTGGCTGCAGACCCTCGGTGGCCAAGACTGGCTGCAGACCCACGATGGATGAGACTGGCTGCTGACTCAGGGTGGGAATGACTGGCTGCAGACTCTGAGTGCACAGGACTGGCTACAAACCCCAGATGGGCGAGACTGGTTGCAGACTCCACAAGGTCAAATGTGGCAGTTGACAACTGCCTGGATGGCAATGGAGGAATTTTCGAACACATTGGAAGCAATCAAGCAGCACATCATCATCCCAGAATTGTCCTCCCACCCAGCTTTTCAAGTTATTCAGCAGTTCAAGAGCTTGCCAGATTTCTTGATGTTTCCTGTGTTCTTGGCACTAAGGCACCAAGATCATTCCAGCTCTGCATTAACACAAAGTCACCTTCCACCAGATATGGAGATTATTCATGCAATGAAGGCCTTTTCTTGTTTCGCAAACCAAGCACGCGAACGAAGTCAATCACCTTCCAACATTCTTAACTACGCATGTCAAAACTGGGTTGTTCATATCTCGCGAGTTCCCAATCCATGGGACGAGAAGCTTGCGCATATTTTTAAGTCTTTCTGGGATCGTCATCTCCTCAACTGGCTCGAGAGGCAGTGGTGTGCAAAGGGTCTGCAGTTGTGCCTTGATATTTTATCAGAAAGTGAGAAACTTGTGAAGGTACGTGTGTTCACAATGGTTTCTTCCTAGACCCATGACCTGACCTACGCATATAGGAACATCTTCTCCGAACCCCAGGGTCATCTCAGTGACCAGTCTGAAGCTGTCGGTTTATGCAACACATCTTGTATTAATGCCATGGCAATTTCAAAGAACTACATAGCGGTTATACACATTAGATGCTGGTATAATGACGGATCGCTCCGTACCTGGTCTGGGGGGTATAGCCCTCAGTAGATAGATAAACCGTAATAATATCCGCACTAGACTGGGTCGCCTTGGGTGTGGCAGCAACTTAGGAGGTTGCGCAAAAGGAAAAGATCCGGGGTTTTGACTCCTAGCACAGCCGGTGTGTTTGCCAGCTATACTAATTTTCAACACTGGTTTTGATTCAATATAGATAGCAAGTAGATAACAAAATTACATGAGAAATATCAGTCGCTCAGTATCGCTTGTACCACGTTTGCAACTCTCAGCTGACGGAGGTCAGTATATGTCTGGTGAAACAGTCAGAATGTGGGGCTATGGATAGGTAGGCCAGACAGAAAAACAAACCTGGCCACATCCGACAAAAATAATTGGCTGGCCTGTCACATATGTCATCGAGAGCGCTGCGCCAACCTATGCGCGAGTGTCAGCTGCCATTGCCGTGGCGAGCAAACCACGCACCTTGTCATCCACAGTATCCCACTTGGTCACTAGCATACCGTCAATGCCACGCCCCTTGCCCGAGCCGGATGCAGAAGAAAAGTCACGAAGGGCGCGGTCGAACTTAGTAAGCTGGTCGACGGCCTCATTGCCAACGAGCGCCTCGCCGACAAAGATTATCTTGTCTGGGTTATTCGCGGCAACAAGCTGTGGAGTTTATCAACGGAGTTCCAAGGAGCTTCCACAGTGTATCATACCTTGGCAAGTGCACGCATGAGGGGCTGGCAGAAAATGATCTATTAGGATCGTGACAATAATAGTACCAGTTTGCGTACCTCGTTGTCTTGCATGCGCCCAGCTGTGTCAATTAAAACGACATCAAAATCGTTATCTTTGGCTGGGTACGAATGCGTGAGTTGAAAATGCACTATGAACAAGATTCCTCACCATATGCAATAGCTTCTTTGGCGATTCCCGCAGCATCCTTCCCGTACCCTTTCTCATACAATTCAACACGGCCTTTGCTATTTGTTGCGCCGTTGACACCAAGCATAGAAAGATTGCGCACATGCACGCGAAGCTGTTCGACCGCACCGCTCCTACACGGGATGTTCAGAATAAGTGCAACTTGAGTAATACTAACGAAGCTCTCTTACCGAAAAGTGTCACAGGCTGCAATGAGCACCCGCAAGCCGTTCTGGATGAGCCAGAAACAGACTTTTGACAAGTTTGTGCTCTTTCCTACGCCATTCACACCCACAAAGGTGATGCTATAAGGCATCCTCTGTTGAGCGGAAGGCAGGGGGGAAGAAAGTTTAGTCCTGATTGACAATAACAGGTCTGTTGAGGTCTTGGGCGTCAGAATACGCGTGAGCGAAGATGACAGTGCCGTCCTAACGGCGTTGCTGGTGGCTGAAATTGCGTCAGAGCACGACAGATAAAGATGCGAGACACGGCATACTTTGGAAACCTCCGACTTTCTTCCCCACAAGACTCTCACCGACACCTTCGCAGACCTTGTCCGCAATGTCCATGGCCACATTTTTCTTCATAAGGTGTTGTTTTCATCCCCTCCAAAACAGGCTTCAAATCCTGTTCGGTTAAGATTTTTGGAGCCTGTCAAACGGGAGAACAAAGAACTCAGAGCGCCCAATGAGCCCGATGGCTGCTTTGCACCCTCATTCTTCAAAGCACGAGTGATAGCGTCATTCGACTCGTCGTCCTTTCCACCAAAGTCCCAATCCTTGACTTCATATAAACCATCCCTTGTCCTAGTTCCAAGAGAGGCTTTGTCTACGAGGGCCTGCAGGTCATGCGATAAATGACCATTTGTGCCGGAGTCAGGCTTGTCGATGCTAAAGTCCAAAGAAGCCATTTCTGTTTCTGACGGGGCCGATTCACCCCATTTCCGCTGCGCCTTGCTTTTCGCCCTTTTGCTCGTTGACTCGGAGCTGTACGATATAAAGCATTGGTTTGAATTAAAATGATTTGCGCACTCACTCTGAAGCTGGCACACTGTCCCGGCCGCTTCCCGAGTCCACCCTCGTCACACCTCGCCCTCCCCTTCGGCCACCCCGGCCACGCAGTCTGTTCTTCAGTGCTTGTACGTTGCGGGCTATCTGTTGCTCATCCTGCACTGCAATTGACGATTCGGAGGGAACTAGAGGTCACTTGAGAATATAAGCGTGACGTACTGAATTAAAAAACTCACCCGTACTGAGGTCATCAGAAGGAGGACTGGGGTCAGGTAGAGCTGGAGCCACTTGTCTATAGCGAGACTTGCGCTCCTGCAGACTTGGAGTGAGCAAGCACGGCATATGTGCGAGAACAAGGACGCACCTGGGCAGCCTTGTCTTCGAATCCCTTCAAGAGCTTGTCGAAGACACCATCCCAGCCTTCAAATGCTTTTGCAAAGTTCCACGTTTTGGCAGAATCGCGCGCAGCACCTGATACGAGTTTCCCGCTTTTTATTGCATGCAACGAAGCAACGAAAGTAGCCAAGAATGGCTCGAATAATTTTATAAACAGTGCCTTGAGCGCAGCTAGCAGGTCATCCACGTAAGTTAGTTGGAGAATGCGATGATATGCAACCTGCATTTCTGAATGTCAGTCGAGAGTTACTCCATCAGCATGAACAACGGACGTACCACAAAATTAGCTCTAGATCATTAAAGAATGTCCACTTCACTGCGTACCCGTCCTTCTCGTATTTTTCCTCGGCTGTCCGCCCTTCGATCAGGGCTTCACGTATGAGAGAATTCACGGGAGACGAGGAGAAGAAGCCAAGTGAGATGCCTCTGGGGTAAGGAACGTGACCATAATACAATACCTCCTGCAGCTGATAGTGAGATTTAGCTGCTTCAAATGATTATTAGACCGACCTTTGTGCGAGATCGAGCAGTGGTCGAGCATGGTCGAGTATAATGCACGTCACTCCTTACCGGACACCGCATCATAACTTCAATTGATTACATAAGCCTTGGCATTGCACAAATCGACTCACCTCACATCGATGAAGTTTTGAAGCTTCGGCCAGCTCACTGCTCAAATAACAGCC